ACATGCGAAAAATCTAATAGAAATAACGAAAATTAATCAATCCATATTCTCAAGTTTTTTGCTACAATCAAGCCCTAGATGATGAATTTAGCTCATGGTATAATCTATGAAAATACTAAAATTCATATAAAATGACATAGGGAAGAGAATAGAAAAATTAGGATATAGATCTTCAATTTCTCTCTTGTTCTTGAATCTCTTAATTTTTTTCCTCCTTGCTTCTTGAAGAACTGTGTGTTGAATTCGCCCCCAAAAGTGGTCTATAGGGTTGTATTTTTATCCTCATGAAATCTTGGATGGGTTGGAGCTGTATTGAGCCAAGAAGAGAGTCCAAAAAATTCAAAAAACCTATTTCTCGCATGGCGGCACCTCGGCGCCCAATATGGAGGCTACGACGCCCATGATTCTGTTTATTTTTAGCGATGGTGGCGTTGCGGCGCCTATTTTGGTTGGAAAAACTGCATTGCTCGTCCTTCAATATTTTTATCATAACTTTTTCTTTCGATATCCGATTGAGACGATTTAAGATGCGTTGGAAAGATAAACTCAAAGGGATAAAACTTTAGTTACTAATGTGTACAATTTAAAAACATAAAAACTTACATTGTTACATCTTGGAGTTACTAATGTGTACAATTTATGTACAACCTAACCATACCATAGCCTTAGGCTCGAGGTTATGATAAACTCAAGCTCTCATTTGACTCATAATATCCTTGAACTTTTGTGGTTGGGCTCGACCTGGTGCTCTTGGTCATGATAACCCCGAGCGCTCTCCTTAGACTAGAGCATCCTCGGGTTTCATGTGGTCAGGCTTGACCTCGACCTTGAGGCCTTTGGGCACCTCGTGCCCCTTACTATCCTTCTTTCCCTCTATCACGTTCCTTAATCTAGAAGGGCTCCATTATAGCAATCATCAAGGTATCCAATTATTGCAAATCTACAATTCCAATGAAACATTATTGTCCAACATTAATAGGACTCTCATGTCCTTCAAGACTCTAAAGTAGATGGACATTCAGGTGACCGAATCCCACCAAGATTGCACTGTCTAGCCCTCTAAAAATATGCCCCCTAGCTCATTATTTAGGTACCTTTTTACATTGATTCAGTCATAGCCTTACACTTATATTTACCCTTCATTAATATAAGCATCGAAGAGGTTATGATGACATACTTCAATGCCTTTATTCAAGTTTTGGAGGTCCTATTCGTGCTCAAGCTTTTTCATCAAGCTCAAGTATCGATAGTTTGAGCTTTGTCGTTGAGTTCAGGTTACAGAAGTTATGTTCATGCTTAAACTTTGTCAATAGACTCGGGTTTCGAAAATCTGCTCAAGCTCACTCTCACTTATCAAGCTCGGGTATTCACATGTGCATATTTTTGGTAGCATCATTGGTACCGTCTGTGTAAAACGCTACCAAAAGCCATGATTAATACAAGTTCAGATGCTCTTATAACAAGTTC